CCGATATCACGAAGACTTGCGCCCGCATCTCAACATCCCCGCAACACGCTGTCCACGACGCGTATAGCGGTTTCCGACGCTTTTAGAGCGCGTCTGCGCCTTTGCCACCCCCCACACCGAAATTGCGCGCTCCCCCTTCAGCCTCATCACACAACGCGACTCTGTCAACGGCGGACCCCCGAAGGTCTTTCATCGGCTTCATCGACCAAAGGGCCTCCACCACCACCACGCCCCACGATAATGTCATAGAACCGCTGCACGCGCCACCAACCCTCCCGCGACTGTCTTTCCCTTCTTAATTGCGCGATCTTCGCCGACCCCGACCCCGTACGGCGACCGCGTTCGAGCGTGGATATCCCGTATCTTGGCTGTTTACTGCACACCCCAACCAACACACTGAACCACCATCACCATGGCGTCGGTTCAACCCAACTCAGAAATGCCTGGGCAGGCACCGCTCGCCGCCAACATCACGCGAGAGCAGATCCAACATGTCTTCCAGGTACGTACCTCTCTACGCTTTTTGCGCTACTAGACATTATCTACGCATCGAAACATCGCTAACAATGCCCTCAGCGCTACACCGCGATGAAGCAGCAAGGCGTACCCGAGACCAACCCCGAGTTCATCAAGGCGCGCAATCTTCTCACCATGGTGCAGAAGCAGAACCAGTTCCAGCAACAGCAGAAGATGCTACGGCAACAGCAGCTGCAGCGCCAGCAGGGTCAGATGGATCCTCAAGCTGCTCAGCAAAATGGCGCCAGCATGGCTATGTCCAACGGCACCAAGCCTGCTGCTGCTAGTGATGGCAAGGTCGCTACGCCTGCGCCTGCTTCTAGTGGTCCTTCATCTACCATGCAAATTGCGACTGCTGGTGGGCAAGCTCCTCCTTCCGATGGACAGACTCCCACATCGGCCACCAGTGGTTCGATGGCGCTGTCCAAGGACCAGCTGCTTATGCTACGTGCTCAAATTGGAGCTTTCAAACATCTCTCCAAGGGTCTGCCATTGCCAACCAACATGCAACAGCAGATCTTCGGTCATCATCAAGCCAAAAAGCCCCAGAATGCCGCCGAGGCTGTAGCTGCGGCTTCCCAGATGCTCGATAATGCCACCCGCGCAGGCAGCACCCCGGGCGCAACTGGCGGCGCAGTACAGGAAACTCGAACTCTACCTCGCCTTCCAGACACGTTCATCGATCCCTGGAGTAGCGAAGCTTTCCGCGATGTAAACTACATCTCTCACACTCAGCGCAAAAACCGACCATACCTCGCGACTATCATGCCCCAGGGTGTGGACATTGATGCGGTTCAGGAGAGCATGGCGGAAATGCGCAAGGAGCGCGAAATCCTACTTTACAACCGACTCACGGCGAGAAAGGCCGAGTTGGAGAAGGTTCACGCGAACATCGGTTCCTGGGATACCAGCAAGACCGATACGCCTGAAGACGATGGAAAGGTCAAATTGGCTCTGGTCATCGAGCAGAAGAAGCTCAACCTACTGGAGAAGCAGCGCAAGCTGCGGAGAGAGATTGCCCAGCAAATGATCCATGCTGACAACCTTGCCATGACAGCGAACCGAACAGTATACCGACGCCTTAAGAAGCAATCGATGCGCGAAGCCCGTCTTACCGAGAAGCTAGAGAAGCAGCAACGCGATGCACGCGAGACCAAGGAGAAGAAGAAGCATCACGAGTTTATCGATGCTATCCGCAAGCACCGCACAGAGTTGCAGGAAGCTGGCGCCGCTCAGCGCATGCGTCTGCAGAAGCTCGGCCGTACCATGATCACAACACACCAGAACATCGAGAAGGAAGAGCAAAAGCGTATCGAGCGCACCGCCAAGCAGCGTCTGCAGGCTCTCAAGTCCAACGACGAAGAGACCTACCTCAAGCTTTTGGGCCAAGCCAAGGATACTCGTATTTCGCACTTGCTCAAGCAGACCGATGGTTTCTTGAAGCAACTCGCCGACTCCGTCAAGGCACAGCAACGGTCTGCAAACAACTCATACGAGCCGGAGGAGCCGGAAGAGGAGAGCGATGCCGAATCTGGCGATGAAGACCGCCCAGGCAAGAAGAAGACCGACTACTACGAGATTGCTCATCGTGTCAAGGAAGAGGTTACACAACAGGCTACCAACTTGGTTGGAGGTACCTTGAAGGAGTACCAGCTGAAGGGTCTGCAGTGGATGATATCCCTGTACAACAACAATCTGAACGGTATCCTTGCAGACGAAATGGGTCTCGGAAAGACTATTCAGACCATCAGTTTGATTACCTATCTCATCGAGAAGAAGCGACAACCAGGACCTTACTTGGTTATTGTGCCGCTTAGTACGCTTACCAACTGGACGAACGAGTTTGAGAAGTGGGCACCCAGTGTCACCAAGATTGTTTACAAGGGTCCTCCAAACTCACGTAAACAATATCAGCAGCAGATTCGTTGGGGCCAATTTCAGGTTTTGCTCACAACCTACGAGTTTATCATCAAGGACAGGCCAGTTCTCAGCAAGATCAAGTGGGTACACATGATTGTTGATGAGGGTCACCGTATGAAGAACGCCGGTTCAAAGCTCAGCATGACCATCACACAGTACTACACGACGCGTTATCGTCTCATTCTTACTGGTACCCCGCTGCAGAATAACCTTACGGAATTGTGGGCTATGCTGAACTTCGTCCTTCCTACCATCTTCAAGTCGGCTACTTCCTTCGACGAGTGGTTCAACACTCCTTTTGCGAATACTGGAGGTCAAGACAAGATGGAGCTTACTGAAGAAGAGCAGTTGCTCGTCATTCGTCGTCTTCATAAGGTTCTCAGGCCTTTCTTGCTCCGTCGTCTCAAGCGTGATGTCGAGAAGGATCTTCCCGACAAGACCGAGCGTGTGATCAAGTGCAACTTCTCGACGCTCCAAGCGAAGCTGTACAAGCAACTTGTCACACACAACCGACTCATGGTCAGCGACGGCAAGGGCGGAAAGACTGGTATGCGCGGATTGAGCAATATGCTGATGCAGTTGCGTAAGCTGTGCAATCATCCATTCGTATTCGAAGAGGTTGAAGACGTCATGAACCCAACCAAGGGTACAAACGATCTTCTGTGGCGTGCAGCCGGCAAGTTTGAACTGCTTGACCGAATTCTGCCCAAGTTCCAAGCCACAGGTCATCGTGTCCTCATGTTCTTCCAGATGACACAGATTATGAACATCATGGAGGACTACTTGCGGTTGCGAGGTATGATGTACCTGCGTCTGGACGGAGCGACTAAAGCAGATGATCGATCTGATCTGCTGAGGCTGTTTAACGCTCCCGACTCACCGTACTTCTGCTTCCTGCTATCCACGCGTGCCGGTGGTCTTGGACTGAACCTTCAAACTGCCGATACCGTTATCATCTACGATTCTGATTGGAATCCTCACCAGGATTTGCAAGCCCAGGATCGTGCCCATCGTATCGGTCAGAAGAACGAGGTCCGCATTCTGCGTCTTATTACCTCCAACTCTGTTGAGGAGAAGATTCTTGAGCGAGCCAACTACAAGCTGGACATGGATGGCAAGGTTATTCAAGCTGGTAAATTCGACAACAAGTCCAAGGACGACGAGCGAGACGCCATGTTGCGAATCATGTTGGAGTCTGCTGAAGCCGCAGAAAGCCTTGAACAGGAAGAGATGGATGATGATGATCTGAACCAGATTATGATGCGACACGATCACGAGTTGGCAACTTTCCAAGAGATGGACAGAAAGCGCTTGGCGGAAGATCCATATGGTCCCGGCAAACCGCTTGGTCGCTTGATCGGCGAGAGTGAGTTGCCAGACATTTACCTGAACGAGGAGGCTCCCATCGTCGATGAGAAGGATGACACACCTGCTGGTCGTGGTGCTCGAGAGCGTACCCGCGTCAAGTATGATGATGGTCTTACCGAGGAGCAGTGGTTGGAGGCTGTCGACAACGATGAAGATACTATTGAAGCTGCTATCGCCCGCAAAGAAGCTAAGGTCGCCAAGCGAGGTAGGAATAAGACTGGAAGGGCAGGTGAAGAGGATTCGCCAGTTCCATCACGCGCCAGCTCAGAGGAACCTATGCCGAAGAAGCGAGGCCGCAAACCCAAGGCTGAGAAGCGCAAAGCCGACGAAGCCTCTCTCGATGCTGACCTTGCACCTCGCAAGCGTGGCCGGCCCGCTCCAGCCAAGGACATGCTACACCCTGACCAGAGAGCGTCGCTTCAGAAGGTTGTTAATGTTGTCTACGAAGCTCTCAACGACCTGGAGGAAGAGTCGCAAGATCCCAACATCCCCAATCGCGGTATCATCGACCCATTTATTGAGCTTCCAGACAAGTGGGATTACCCAGATTACTACCAGCTGATCAAGAATCCCATCTGCATGAAGCAGATTGAGAAGAAGATCAACAAGAAGGAGTACCAGTCTGTGAAGCAGTTCCGTCAAGATCTAGGCTTGCTGTGTAACAACTGCCGCACATACAATGAGGATACGTCACTGCTCTTCCAAGATGCCAACCTGATAGAGCAGACTGCACTCGACAAGCTTCGGGAAGCGACGGCAGAGTTTCCAGAGTGGCAAGATTACGACGATGGTGGTAGTGTCACTGGTGGTGGTATGAGCACCATGACGAGTGCGGTTGGCACACCACGGGCTGGTGTCTGAAGAAGGTAAGTTGCCGCATTGAAGATTATTCATTGGGTATTCACTAAGAGCGACAGATGAGAACGTACGTCTTCAAACACGACGCGTGATCGACGATATGGTTTGATCGGCATAACACTCAACCACCTTACACCTTCTTTACATGTAGTTTTTGTCCTCCTGTACAACTTGTAAGACCTGGAGGAAGATTGGAGAGGTTTAATTCCAGGCATTTTATTGCGCGCGCACTACACGTCTTTCCTCGCTCACATCACATTTTGCAGCGAGCTTCCCATGGTTCTAGGATGCTTGATTGAGTAACACGATTCTGGGGTTAAGGGGTTTTCTTCTTCAGTGGGAGTTTGATGCATGCATGGCTACTGTAGCTAGAGCGAGCTTAGCTTTAGCTCGCCTTTGATAAAAAAAAGGCAATTTGATGTTCGAAGAGAAGGAAGAAATGCAATAGTTTGCACTTGTTCTGATTTGTTCGATGTGTTGTGCGATACATGACATAGTCTTGTCATTCATGCTTGCTCCGCATTCCACTTGACGCAATCTTGGAACTTGACGCCTGACCCGCCAAAGATATCCAAGGCGCTACCGATGGTCAGGTCAACCTTGCCCTTGCTCAATTTCTTCACCAACTCTAGGTCTTCGAGTGAACGACCTCCACCGGCATATGTGACGGGTATGCTGCACCACTCTGCTAGCTTAGTGACGAGTTCGTGATCGATACCGCGTTGTAGACCTTCGACATCGGCGGCGTGGATGAGGAATTCGCAGCAGTGCGGTTCAAGGAGGGATATGGATTCTACGCATGGATGTTAGCCACATCTGTTGGGCATGAAGATAGACATTGGGTGTGTATACCCTGGTTCAGCTCAAATTCGGTGATAGTCTGCCACTTGTTCGTCGCAACGAACCATTTGTCGTCTTTCCTTCGGCACGAAAGATCAATGACGAGTTTAGTTTTATCGTTGCCAATGGCTTGGAGGACGGCTTGCAGGCGGTCCATGGAAAAGGTAGACGAGGGAAAGAGGTACGACGTTATGATCACCTACTGCGCTTTGATTAGTCCAGTTTCTTGTTCATAGTCGCCAATGTCGTTTGATTGTGTAAAGCTCACCTTATCCGCACCTCTCTCGATCCACTCGGCTGCATTCTTCTCTGTGATTCCTCCACCGACTTGCATGCCACCCTTCCATGCTTCCAATGCGTCTTGAGCTGCTTGGTCGTTTCCAGGACCGAGCATTATAACGTGTGCGCCTGTCAAGCCATGTTGTTTGTACAGGTCAGCGTAGAAGGCGGATGGATGTTCCGAGGTCCAGTTTGTCTTCAGGACGTCGGGGGTTGTGGTGTTGAGCGTGCCACCGACGATCTGCTTGACGCTTCCGGCGTGCAGGTCTATACAGGGACGAAAACGCGTCATTGTGTGGTCTACGGGATTGTGATGCGTGTAGAAGGATGCTGCGGGGGAGGGGTTGAGTGAAGGACGGGGGTCCGAGCGAACAATTGACGCTAAGAATTTCCCATGTCGAACTTTTGGATCGCCCATCTTGCGCGCTCAACACCACGACGCAACCATGGCGCCCGCACTCGGAAAACGGAAGCGCGTAACGCGCGCAGAACTCGAGCAACCGTCGCGATCTCCTTCTCCCTCTTCCGCTTCTGGCGATGACTCCGGCGCCGAAGACCTCCAGGCGATATTCCGGCGCGCATTCGAAGCAAAGTTCAAGCCTCTACCCGTAGAGCCCAAGAAACCCAAGATCGAGGAACCACCGGTACAAGAAGAACCAGACGAGGAAGAATCAGACTGGTCAGGCATAAGCGACAGCGAAAATGGCGTCCAAGTCGTTGAGTACCAAGACCCACGCCGGGAACTTGATGAGACTGAACGGGCAGAGATGAAAGCCTTCATGTCGTCGAAACCGCCTACCTCAGCTTCCGCGTCCTCGAAAAATGTGACAAACAAGAAGAAGCAAGAAGACCCTGACTCCAACGAAACCACAAATCTGAAAAACGACATGGCGCTCCAAAAACTCCTTCGTGAATCACACCTTCTCTCCGCGTCCTCCTCTGGTGCCTCGACACCTACGCTCACCACCACGGGCGTCGCACGCCATAAATCGCAAGACCTGCACCTCCAAGCCCTCGGCGCCAAGGGCTCAATCTTTACGCAGAAGAAAATGCCAATGGCACAGCGGAAGCACATGATAGACAAGGCACGAACGATGGAAGAGAAGAGGCGGAGAGAGGCCAAGGAGGCTGGTATCGTTCTAGAGAGGGAAAACAGAGTCACCAAGAAGGCACCCGAGAAGAAGAGGGAGAGGGGTGTTGGAGGACCCAGTATAGGAAAGTTCAGGGGCGGTACACTGAGTCTGAGTAAGAAGGATGTGCAGAGTATCACAGGCGGTGGGGGTTCCAAGGGAAAGGGAAAGGGCAAGAAGGGGAAGAGATGAGAACGAAGATGTTGAGATACCCAATATGAATTATGCGACTCGAGTCGAGATGTCCCGACGCGCCCGTGTTCATGGACTTGCTGTCATGCACGACGTGTCACGAAGCTTGTTCATCAATTACCCCAAGGCACTCTCGAAAGAACCTGCTCTCGCTTCTTAGGAAGACTCTCAACGGTCGCATATGGGACAAGTGCTCCTTGTGACCAGAAGGAGCCCCGACAAGCAGCGACTAACATCAAAGCGTCTCCCGCGGTAATTGAGCATTTGCCATTTTACCTTTCGGTCATTGTCCAATATCAAACTCCCATTCCCTTTGTGGAACAAACTCACTACAATCGGCCTCCTACATCCGGCCAACCGCACCAAGCAAGCCTCAATTACTGTCACTCCAAACCCTGCTATATAGCAACCTCAATACCCTCACCCAAGCTATTTTGTTCATCGATGCCAGACAAGCCTTTCCGGCTCCTATACCTTCCTGTAGAGCTACGATACACAGTACATGAGCAGATTGAGATCTCTGCCTGTCACTACCGGCTCAAGGACCTGATCTTCAGGTGCAAATCCGAGAAAGCAATACCATGATCATACATGGCACTTGTTGTCAAAACGCTGCCAGTGTGGTTCCTAGCCATTTGCCGTTTGATTTGTGAAGAGGCAGCACCTTGCCTCGTGCTCAAGCTGGATACGCTACCTGATGAAACCTCTCGGTTCATCATCGATTCGAGAGACTTTTACAGTTTCGTCTATCAGAAGCACAGTATTCGCACGATGTTCGAGAAATAAGAATCTGACGCGTTCACACAATAATGGGACGGTATTAGCAGTGATAGAGATCCTCGGACCTAGATTCCCTACAAGCCATATCTTGGGGACCCAAGCCATGGTACTATCCAAGTCTTTTTACGTGGTTTCAAGAAACACACAGCCATCGTGATATCCTTCAAGGAGTGCATCAAGATTCGAAGACGTCGACTCGATACGAAGAAAGTCTTCAACTTCCGCTACTGTATTGGGTCACTTGATGATTTCACTAGCAATCTCCTTTTCATATTATGACTTAAGAATTTGATTAGAGACGGCGTCGAACTTAACTTGAATGGGTTCGAGGCAGATGATATCCAGTCTGTAATTGAGGAGTTTAATTATATAAAGTCTATGTACCGTATGGATAACGGTGGGCTGGTTAGAGATGTTTCTGACGCAGAGTGAAAGGTAGTGTTAGCAAGATATAACGTTACGCTGAACGAAGAGGCTGTCACAGAGGTCGGTATAGTGGCAAAGCAGTTGTTCGCACTATTGATGGATATGTTCGTTGTGTTCAAGTATGCAGAGTTAAGCTCAAGGTATGTCAGAATATGTTGGTAGCTGTATCTTGGTACGGAGTACAGGAGATGTTCTCTCTGTAGGCAGAGGAGATGTTCATAGTGATACCAGGAATAAGCTGGGAGTCAACCAAATGTGACACGCATTTAAAATATAGACATCATGCACTCGCAAGGCACCTTGATGCAACATGTTGATACGTTGTACCTATCGCAGAAATCCTTCGGTTGTCTACATTCATCCGAGAACTTCCGTATACATAAATTTACCAGGAGTTACGGGTATAGAAATCCGGACGGTTGACTCTCCTGACTACTGAATATAGCCGCGCGTTACTCGAGTAAAGCGACAAGTTGCTCAGTAGATCTTACTCTTATCCATTATAACCGTAGTCCTATTAGCACGACCACAGGATTAAATCACGCGCCCCGCTGTAACCGCTGTTACCGAATAACACGACGTGTCGTGACAGCGTGTGCAGCGTGTGTCAACACTTTGGTCGATCGAGTATCACAAGGCGTTTGCCCTATAGAAACTCCGCCTAACTTGCCTAATTTGCCTACGATCTTAGCGTACCGGCAACCAAAATTTGGGTTCTTGGGTACCGGTCAGCCCTATTTCAGATAGTACTCCGGTAGTGTTTGAATGGTCTCTAGAGCTAATGATAGCCGCAAATTGTATCTAGACGTCATGTTGTGCTGATGGTTCTGCGGGTCCAATCAGTTATCATCACGCTTGCTATCGCGCTTGTATGAGCCAAGTTGTCCAGCTGAATGGCTCAAGTACGATGCTATTGGTAGCGGAGGGTGGGTCCGATGTTTTGTCGCATGTCGACTTCCGAGCTGGAGCTACCCAAGTATAAGCGCTTAAACGGTCTGTGGAGTGGGGAGTATTGGGCTGAGGGGATGAGTGAGTAGTCTACGGGCGCGAAGTATTAGGTTACCAGGTAACTCTGGAGATTGAATCTATCCAACTCTCGGGCTTTGGGGCCGAATATCCTGACGCCTATCAAAGGATGAGAGAATAGCTGCTTACGCAGGTATGTGTATCGGAAACAGCTGATGGATTGAGTAATCAAGAGAAGGAGCGCAGTTAATCCACAGCCATAACATGGAGGGCAAGATGAAAACTTGTCCGTTCATATTTCGGTTGCTGTAGAACATGTTGCAGTTGTATCTGATGACTATTTCCTATCATACGTCATTTCGAAGAATCACGCTCTCCCGCATGCAATCCTGGCGAAGTATTTGAGAAATATGTATCGCAGTTATTACCGTTACAAGTCTAGTGGTCCGTCAACCCTTCTCTCAGAACGAGGCTGAAGCTGATGATTAGCTTCCGGTTGTTGAAGTCATCAACCAAACTCCGTTTTATGGTCTGTGAGCGTATACCGAGCAAGTCCGTATGTCTTGCGTGCTGCGTACAATGCATCTAATCTGAAGCTAACATAGTCACTGCTAAGCACCGTACCCTACATGATCCTATCTTCGTTGTGCATGAAGAGCGCACCTTGGGTGCAAATTCTACCATCACGCTTGTCACAAAGCCTCCCACTGTAGCTTTACTGTAACCAAAAAGTTGTGAAGTATCCGGCTCTCCAGGATGGGCGAGCTGGATGTGAAGCTGAGCCGTTACGTCGTACATATGGCGAGCGTAGATACATTGCTCAGTCATTGTGGCCTTCTAAGATTGATCGAATAACGAAAGGCGGACTCTAAGACTGAAAAGGCTACGATGTGCCTGAGGTCCGACCGCCTAGGATATGACACTACAAGGCCGAATGACGCTCACTGCAATACTGTCCTCCGCGTCATAGGAAAGAGCACGTCCTGATCCTTACACGCCGAAAGCATTTGGGTGAGTATAACGTGTCTCGAGCGCTCATTAAAATTCGACATTGCTACGCGCGGCCTACTTTCCCAACAGAGTCTCCTTCACGGTCCAAGCACATCCCTAGTGCCTCTGAAGTACGTATGTGACAAGATTGTGTGATAGCACTCGATCCGGCGGTTGAAGACTCGGTAGCTGCGGGTTTAAGGAGCCGCGCAGAGGCTGATGGACTGCCTTGCACGCAATTAGACTCATATGAGTATGTGGAATTGAGTGGTCGACCAATGAGAAATGAAGCACTGAGTGGGAAGACGACGAGATAAGCTAGTCAAATAATCCATCCTTTCTCATGAAACGTGGCTTCATGTGGACGAGGCCTAGTCCTACCTTATGGGCCTAAATGAAGGAATAGTGTTCTGCATACATGACCGAGGCTTCCAGTTAGAAGTCTCAGCCTCGTCAATTGCAAATTTGACGTTGTCAGATCTGTAACATCAGATATCTCCACTTGCAGGGTACGACGCAAGCACTACTTCTTTCAGTCAACGTGCAGAAGGATTCTACTGCGAGCAGCGACCGTTACGTTTGAATACGACAACGATGTTCCGAAATAATGCTAGCATGCAGTAAGCTGCCGTTGGATGATCATATACGAACGTTCTCCGGAAACACAATGCCACCGGCTTGTCTGCTGAGCGTCGTGCCAAAATCCGAGTTGCTATAGCAGGGAAGAATGCAGTAAAGACAGAATACCGATTAGCCTCCGAAGGCCTGCGCTTGGCTGCAACCGTATATGCTGACAAGATTGACATCAAGGGCCATTGAGTCGCAGTGAGGATTTTCATCAGAAGCCGCGCAAGAATGTGATGTTGGTGGCGATGTATCCTTGATAGGATGTTCAGCCTCACTCCAGCTCCATAATGTTGGGAAACGCTCGATCGGTGGCAGAATGGGGCAGTGGCGATCAGCATGGGTTTGAAAAGGGGGATCTCAGCACAGCGATCCATCCCATTCTTTTGCAGTTTGGCGATGCAGAGAAGGTCTATTCTTGGGAGGGAAGGGTGCAAACGCGTCAGTGAGGCGTGCCCCCGAAACCCCTCAAGGGTGGCGAACGGTTGCAATATGGTCCTCACACAGCGTTGTGAGACTCAAGTCGTATGCTTCGCCAATGCACAGGTTTGTATCATGTGGAAGTTCCGTACCTCTCTTCACTCACATTTTTTGATGGAGGTGGTCCGTTACACGATGCGCATTCCCTATTGACTGATGCGGAATCTGACCGGTCGCGGATTCGACGTCGCCCTGACATGCTGCGCGTACATGACGGCCTCGCCGGCAACCCCACGTGTTAGGCCACAGTATGTGTCGACTGATTTCCACCGCCAGAAGCGTCAGCTTGCACAGTTGATAGATATGTTGGCCTGAAACTCGGTTGGTCGGTACATTACGAGCTACCGAGATCTAGAGGCACGGCTGTCATGCAAGATTGACGAAATGCGGAAGCGGAAGCGGGCACGCTCACCGATGAAGATCTGGAGGAATATCGAGAAGGGCCGAATGCTTGCGATGGATCCATCGTCAAGGGAAACGCAAGATCTGATATTTCTTTTCAAATCTGTGTGGGTGGAAATATTCCTGGTTGGAGTTGGGGAAGCGGCTGGCGGGGCGGACTGGGTAGCTGGGAAGGGCCGGAATGCTGCCGACGTATCTCGTTGAGATGCCGCTCGGGAGCCCGCCTTGACGAGGGCGAGCGTCCTGGAGTAAGTCTCCAGACACGCCCACCACTACGAACGCAGGTGCCATTGGTGGGTATGTGTTCCGGCAGCCAGTGGCTTCGCGTAATGCACACAGCGTCCCTGGTGGCGTCGCACAATTGAGCCCCACCCTATCACAACTCTCACAGACCACAGGCGCAAAGACACAACAGCTCGCCTATCTGCAACAACAATGGCAGTATCTGGTCTGGGTCAAGGAGGTTAATAGTACCTCTCTGCGGTCCATCACCCCGCCATCTTGAACTTTGAGTTGGCAGATACAATTGTGCATATAGCAACGAGAGGTACGCTAGGCTTAGTACAGTTCCGTTTTGAGCGTTGTGCATACAATCCTACGGCGGCTACAGGCTGCCGTTCCCTAGATCTCGAGGGCACGGAGCGTTGCGTTCTGATCGGTGGGGCGCATCAAAATACCTCG